CAAAATTGAAAGCCATCAGGCAGCTGGTTCCACAACCATCAAAATCTCACAGAACTGGACAGTGCTATTCATCAGACATGGTGTAGATTCCTCGCATCACCTTTCAACATCTCGTGGAGTCAATGCCAAGAAGAAGCACCGCATTATTGAAGGCAAAAGGTGGCCCAACGAAGTACCGATGGGGTGGTCATAATAATCTGGCCACTCCAGATGTATGTGGCTGGCAAAATACTAATATTGATCCAACTTGATCAAATAGTGAATAATTTAGATTTGTGTTAAATTCAAGTCAAGCATTATAGCAATATATTCTGCATACAGTTCCAAGCAACATGTGCTTTTCAAAGAAGCAAATCATCCGTTTTAGCTGTGCAGGTATTTTCAAGGTATTTTACCAGAAAATCTGTGCCTGTAGGCGACAGGTTTACAAGTTCATTTTTTTACTATTTTACTCACATAAGAATTAAAAATATAAAAGCTATACATAAATGTACTCCTTGGTTAGATCAGCAAATACAGATATTGTTCTTTGGCAAGTCATGCTTAGGATAGATGTAGCCTTTGAACCCCAGGCCAGGACTGCCACAGCGGCTCCATCACCGGAGCTCAGTACACAATCCCCCTCCGATCTCTTCTCCATTCTGTGAATGCAGATAGTGATGTATCACTTCCGCATTCAGCTGTCATTCTGAGCTACAGAAGCCGGGAAGAAGCTGGTAAAGCAGATCAGTTTCTTTTGGGGTGCCTAGGTGACATTAGGGGTCTCTGAGACCCCTGGTGACTCCATAAAGAGATGTGGATGTAAATTGGCCATCACATAGCGGGCTTCTTAGCCCCATATGTGATGGCAATACAATTAAGTGTAAAAAAAGTAAAGTCCCCTGCCCCCACATACAAAGGCAAACATGCGTCTTGTACACCTACATGCGAAGACGATTGCACCCATTGTGTTACTGTTAGTGTGTACAAAAGTTTGAGCGTGAGCAATAATTTTAGGACAGGACCATCAGTCACCATTAACACTAAACTGATGAGCAGTAAAACCTTAATGCACTGCCTGTGGCCAATTTTAAGTATGGTAGCTTTTTGCAATTTCACAGGTGTGCACAATTTTAAGGCTCGACATGTTTGGTCTCCATTTACCCGACGTGACCCTAGCTTACATTTTACCAAAAAATTGGGATAAGAAGCGTTTCATAAACACAACATAGTGAAAACCATTAAAAAAATTACTTTTTTGTTGTTATAGTTAAAAAAAAAAAAACCCCAGTGGTGATTACATACCACAAAAAAAAAGGTTCCATCTGCCCCCAAAGAAAGGTATAAAATTCATTTCAGTACAGCGTTGCATGACTGAATGTCAAAGTACTGCAGTGCTGAATACTGCAAAATGGCATGGGCAGGTTTTTAACACCCTGATCTTCAAGTAGGTAATCAATATGGTCAAATTATAACTGCATTAAAAGGACTCAGATGTGGAGCCATTTTTGCAAACGGTTATTAAAACATTCCTATGCCATTAAAAACATTTCTCAAACTGCCATTTTAGCACAGCTATTTTATCTGAACTGAAAGTTTAGTCTATTAATAGACCTCAAAACTCACTAACATCACTAGCACAATCTATGGCTCATAATACCACTACCTTCTGTCTAATCTGTTTTAACTGGCCAATAAAAATATCAGAACATTGATCTACTGTGCATAGGTCAATTCAGCTGACCCTAGCAACAATAAAATTTGAGTTTAGGGCAATTGAGGAGGCAAAGGAAGCCTTGCACAGATCTTCCATTCACTGGAAATACAACAAACTCCCCATTATCCAGCATTCAAGCAACGGGCAAAAAAACCCAAAAAAAGAGAAAACAAAACCCTATTTTATTGCTGGTACCCTGACTCACTAATACATGAAGGGGAGGGGGGCGCTGAAAGAGTTTACCATTCACTCTTGAGCAACCCTAAATTAGTTATCCAGCACCTACCGATCCCCATGGATGCCACATAACGAGGAATTTAATGTGCACAGCATTTAGATAAAGTTTTCTATACTGCCAGATCTACTCCAGTCACTGGGGAAATGCAACAATCAGAAAAGGTCTTCCAACCTGCATGATTTGGTCTCCAAAGAATGATCATTTGGGCTATCGGGCTCTGCCTCAGACAGTGCCAAGGCCAGATCGGAAAACTAATCTAATGTCTATTACAACCTTTACTACAGTATCAAGAAACCTTGTCCTTTATGGGTTATCACACTTTGCACATCAATGCTCCTTATATTTTAGTTGAATTGTCCTGTTTTTGTTTTTAGCATTCATAGATTAATGCTTGTGTACGACTACTACCTAAAAAGGGACCAACAAACATCTTGAATCTGCAATTCAGTTTATGGCACTATATCACAAAAAAGGTTGCGGAACTGGGAAGCATGCAGTGAAATAATAAAGGGAATGAATACCGAAATGGCACGGTTATACAACCCAATGTGGCACTGCAGTAGTGTGAATGAGCCCTAGGAAGAAATCTCACTTCCTGCTGCCTTTTCAGAAATTGAAACAATTTTGGCTGTACATACACTTGAGGCAAAAGGCCTAGATAGGTTTCTCAATGTGAAAAATCTCATTAATGCTTATATTTATGAAAAATAATTTTGTAGAAGTTCAGTCCAGCGTTACCCCACTGCTTTTCACAAAAACATTCTGAAAGATTATAAAGCATTAGTTCCCTTCCTCTGGATCAATGGTGGGTTTATGGTAATAAGGATGCAAGGTTAGTCTTTTGCTTAATGATCAGCTCAGTAAGCAGGGAGCAGAGCATAGGGATACAGAGCTTGTGGCAGGCCCAGAACAGAAGGGTGGAGCATGCTGGCATCTGTCACATTGCAGGAATCTTTGACAATGCAAAGTTGTGGAAGGGATATCAAAGGAGCCTGGAGTTTAGAGAACTGATGCACATTCTATTTGCACCTATTACCTTATAAATTGCAATTCAAGAAAATATATTTCCACTTATAAGTCCTTAGATGTGGTGCACTAGTTTTCTGCAACTTCAAAAACGTGCCTGGCCTAAAAAAAAAAGTACCAGTTGATCCTAGGGTAAAAACATGACTCCTACACAGATAGTCCCTGCCCAGACTCCAGGTATTCTTCCACTCACCAATACCAGGCATTTTCCCCTTTCCCAACAACAACATGGTACATTTACCATGTTGTTGTTGGGAAACACAAAGCTGTGCGCTTTGTGTTTTCAGTCAACTTTGTTGGGAGGTAGGTATTTAGCATAAAAATAAAAAAAAAAGTTCAAGTTCAAGTATAACAGAGTAAGAAAAGCAGACTGTCGAGACTGAAAGGGAAGGAGGCTATTTTTCTTCTAGAAGGCGACCCAAATTTTATATTTGGGAGTATTCTCTTGCTGGGTTAAAATTTGTTCACTCCCCAATTCCATTCGGAAACCAACAGTAAAAAAAAAAAAAGTACTTTTCAGTAAATTAGATTTCCATTTGACTAATTTCCCAAGCTATGGGACAATTTGAATATACCTGAAACAGTACAACTTTACCGAAGACCATCATACCTTTCCTTTTTTTTTTTTAAATATAAAAAAGTAGCACAATTTTCCTTTGATCTGAATGAGCTATTAAAAACAGTCAAATCAGTTTGATGTGTGGACCGCTAGTTAACACTACCTACATTCTAAACAGCCAGGTGTCAGGGATTGACGTGACCTGATGTTTGGTCTCTACACAGCATTTATGGAAACATGGTTTGTCAGTTTCTAGGTATCTGTTTTAAGATATCTGTACAATCATACACAATAAACTGGTACATTAATGTGTAGGGAGGGTTTTATACTGCCGTAGGCCCTTTAATACTATCGCTACTTGTGTTATGTAACTATTTTAGTAAAAACTGCTGCTAGAATAGGCAACTGGAGACTATGAAATATCTACTATCCAGAGCTGCATTTCAACTGTACACATTGGTAAACCGAAGAAGGCAGAGATGGTTTAATGTTTCTTTCCTTGAAACTTCCATGAATTTTCCTTGATATTGACGTCCCCCCCC